TATTAGTATTCCATAACTTAATACATTTGCGGGATGATAAATCTAGAAATGATAGGAGAATTCTTGATAGCATTTTTGGCATTTGGTGGGGTAATTTGACTCATCGTGGCATAGACAATGATGCTGAGCAATTATATTGATGGTTCCATTTAACCTTAAAATATAAACAAATAAATAATTTATATGAATAAAATCATTAATTAAATTTACGATATCATTATAAATTTTACATTTTAAAAAGAATCTATTAAATAATACTTTCAATGACTTCTAATTCTATATATTAGTCTTTATTGATGTTAAAATCATTCTCAATACCTTCTTCCATAGACTCTATAAATTGTTTGTAAGCTTTGATGAAATTTGATCCGTTGTCCGTCACAGTTACTATAAATTTTTTATCAATTCTAAAGTCACGATGGATTTCATCAATTAATTTTTTTTGTCATATGTGCTCCTAAAAATTATAATGTATCATATAATTATTATGCATTTTTTTTTAATGTACCTGTATATCAATTTAATAGCATATAAATATAATATTGAAAATTTTGATTGTTATTTCTGGGAATTTTCGGAACTTGGAATTTTTGGAAAATAATAAATTTTTAGAAATGGTATTTTTAAATGTGATTATCCCAAATATGTTTATTTTTAAATTAATATGTCAAAGTCGATTATTCATGAAAATATATTGATTATATTTACAAATACAATATTTCTTATTTTTTTTATTTGATTTGTTTTGTTAAAATATTAAATGAAAGTAAACTGTTGTGTTTAAACGAAACCCCGTTGCTTTTTTGTATACATTTTTTTTATACGACTTTACATATGATATTTTCTTCGCGTAAAAATCTTATATAAAAGTATTTCTTTCAAAGCCTCCGCACATTGTTTATCATATTTTATCCCTTTATCCATCATCATCTTTACATTCTTTTAGACTATATTGTAACTGTTATTATATATATATTTTTTTAATACTATACTTTTTTAATATAATCTATCAAATAAAATTATATGAAAATTAAAATATCAAATATAAAATAAAACCTTATTCTATAAAAACGGAGGTGGGACTACAAGTTCCCAAAAAGAATAATTATAATTTAAAATAGTAATTTGTAGATTTTTTTTAAAATAATAATATTCTTTAGGTTCTGATGTAAGGGCTCTTATCTTGTCGCCTATATTATTCATTTGAAACTGATCCTAGCCAGTTTTAAGGATGGCCAATATGTATAAAATCTTTATAAAAATACTTCATTTTTATTTTTTTGAGGACAAGAAAAAAAGTTGTTGCCAACGAATTTTTAGTATATATAAGATGTGTAATATATTTAATCTGGATCATTAATTAATTATGAAATGAATTTTTTTTGTTATTGAATTTTATTGTATATCATTTGATTTGAAATGAATTTTTTTTACGATTTAATATGGCGAATATTCGAAATTCAATAAATTCTTACTTTTTAACTCCGAGAGTAAAAATATTTTATTTGTTTCCTACAAAACGACCGTATCTAGTATAAAAGGTTTTGTAGATCCAAAGATATTAAAACTTGATGAAATGTTTGAAAAGACTGTTTAAAAGCAATGTACAGTTTTATATTACCATAAATGCAAGAGTTTTTAAAAGAATACACCTTATTTATAACTTATACAGTTGAAAGAAGTTGGCGAGACCTCTTATAAATAAAGTTTTTGAATTTATAGAAGTGAAGGTTGCGGATATTATACATAAAGCTTCTCATTCATCAATTGTTTCAGATGAGTGGAGCAATATCCAATATGTAAGCAATATAAATTTGAAGGTAATTACACTGATTCCTGTATTTTATAAGTTTTTAAATACATAGGAAAATCGCTATAAAACAGATTATATTTCTCAACAATTATAAGTGTATTCTTTAGTTACATGCGATTAATATGAAAGCTGCTTGGAGAATTTTAAAATCTAATTCGGCTTTAACCATATTCAATTTTATGGATGTGCAGCATACACATTACAATGTAAAGTTTCACGGCATACAATTTTTTAAAAATACGTATACCATGTGCAGTATTTTCCCGCTACAGAAATCAACATGCCATATTATTTGCTTAAAGTATGATTAGTTTAACGAAATGGGCTTTTCAATAAAAGGTACTTAACAAATACAAATTTGCAAAAGAGCTTTAAAAGCGTCTGTGGTTGAAGAAACAATTTGTGATATATACCCATGAAAAATAAGTAATTTATTTAAAGCTTTAATTTAAACCGCTGGCTACATTGTTGAGAATTCAAGGAGACAAATGCACTTTGTACTAAATAAAAAAATGTGACGTTATCTTTAGAAAAACATATTGTTCATTCATGGCAAGTCCCATTATTATCTTCAAGAGAAGGAAACAATTTATGTTTGAAATAATAAATAATGGTCTAAATAGAATTGTCAGAATGCTGCCTACTTACCAATCCCCAATATCAAGGACAACATCTCATGATTAATGAATTCGACGAAGCTTGTGATATGATAAAAGAACTAGGAATTCTACAAGGTGGTGATAATTAAGTCATCTTAGGTGGTATAATAAATTTTCGCTTAAAGGCGGTATCGATTAACAAAATATGTGAAATGCGGTAGAATCCCTAACCATTAATCAGATTTCAGCATCAAGCTAGAGGAAGGGGCTTTTTTCACTTCGCCCTTTAAGGAAGTAGCAAGTTCAACTTCTTCTTCAGATATAAATTGGTCTTCTGGGGTAATATTCATGAAAAGAACCGATATAGATTGAAAACTCTTACTACGGAAAATTAGTTAGCGTTTTTATGATTTATTAAAAATATAAAAGAAAGTCATTATTCAATTAAACCAGGAAAATACTCTGCCGTAGAAAGTGAAAAAAAAAACAGTAATTCAAGAATGAATCAAAATATTACCAAATTTAATAATATGCATTTATTTATGAATATATCTTGTATAATTGTTATTACAATACAGACCCGTGCGCCATCAGTATACGCCGGTTTACCCCCACGCCGAAAAAGCCGTCAATTAAGATGAGCCGCGCTCCAGGCTCGTCGTCAATTTTTTTACGACGGCGGGGCGGCGTGTAAAATTTTTAAATGATATTTAATTATATCTATACATTAAATTATTATTTTTTTAAATGTGAGTATTAAGATTAATAAAATATGAATTATATAGTACTTATTGCAATACAAATCGAATTAATATGAAAACCTTAAAATCAAAATTCCCTATCAATTGGGGTAGCATATTAATTATGCAAGAAGGTGTGGGTAATAGGGCAACAATCTTTAAAACTTTTCAATAACGAATGGGATTTAATTAACAAATTATTCACATTTACTAAATCCATTCAGAGAGTCTGTAGAATTTCTTTCCTCTCAAAAGCTATAAACAATTAACCTAGGTTTATTATTTTGTAGTTAAATAGAAACAAATATAAAAATCAATGAATCTGATTGGCCAGATATCATTTGTCTAAAAGAAAAGCAAAAAAAGTTAAACCATAGGTTTACTCAATGCTAAATACCTCTTTATGACCAATCTCTGCAAAATAATACTTAATACTTCAACAATCTTTAACTAAAGTTGATTACAAATTTATTTATATTTTGCTTGCATTCCACAAATTTATATATAAATTTGTCTTAAAAAAATCGATAGAATAATGCATGACCCAACAATCTTTAACTAAAGTTGATTTCAAATTTATTTATATTTTGCTTGCATTCCAAATTTATATATAAATTTGTCTTAATAAAAATCGATAGAATAATACGTTATGAGTGACCCTGAGTAAAAATGCAATTCCTTGTTCTATTTTGGAAAATGAAAAATACATAAATTTAATTAGTGCAACAGAAAATGATTTAAGAACCAAACTATATTAACAATCTTGAAACTAAGAGTGCCTAAATAAATTAAAACAATGAATTACAAATAATTCATTTTTTAAATGTAGCTAATTTGGTGCATCGATGAATGATGATGAAAATTTTAAAAACCACTAAATTAAAACTTTAGAGCACAGGTTAACACATCTAATAAAGTGAATACTTATAGAAACATTTAATTGAATTTGATCATATTTGATCGATAAAATATACAACATTACATTTTTATTTCTAAAATAATAGAATAAATATAAAAGACCTGCAAAATCCAAATTTTTTGGATTTATAAAAATTAGGAATTTAAAATAAATCAGGTAATATATGAGCAAAATATAGGCTCAGCCTGTTGCCTGAAAAAAATTAAAGTTATATTTTCTTTCTATTTTTCCTTTTAAGCCTGATTGAATATCACAATGACAAAATTTATTTAAAAAGGGCATGACTAAAATATGCATGGAAACTATGTGTACCCTATCAAAGAAGCTTAATCTAAATTATATTATAATAGAATTGTATTTAGCATAAGATGATTTAAAAAATGTTTTTTTTTAATTTAAAAAAAAATGTAACATAGTAAAATTATAAAAAAATAATTTTTTTACATGACTACTAAAATAGAAAGTTAATTTATAAAAAAATGAATGCAGAATCATATATACAGTGTTGTGATGATTTAATGAAACATATTGACAATTAAATTAAAACCCATCCATATAAAATTATTTTGCTTGCAAAAATAATTAAAATAACAAAAGGAGGGATAAAATAATTTTCAATAATGCTTTGTCTATATTTTAATTATTTTTGCAAACAAAATAATAACAAAAGGAGGAATAAAAGAATTTTCAATAATATAAAATGAACATTTTTTAAATCATCTTATCTAAATACAATTCTAAAATAATATAATTTAAATTAAACTTCTTTGATAGAGGGCACGTAGGGGTGCATATTTTAGTCATGCCCATAAACATCATTAAATTACCAAATTTATTGTTGAGTATTTAAATTTTATGCATAGCCTAAAATATAGTAGGCCAGGCCCAGTCTTATGATAAATATTTTGAACATAAAGATGTATAATTACTTTGTTTCCATTGTGATATAAAATTTTTCCATTCATTTGTATTTTTGCCATGTTTAGTAAATAAATTATAAGGTTTTGTAAGTGTATTATCTGTATAAAGAGGTATTATTTGATCATTAGTAGTCCAATATTCTTGTTTATGTGCTTTGAAGGCAGGCATCTCATTCAAATCAAAAAAATTCAAAAGGTTAAAACTTTTGATATAATTTTTATATTGAAAATGATTTGTTTTTTTCTAAACAATTTATTAATTTTTATATAAATAAATTTAATAAAACTTGATGCCTTTGATAATATGATTTTCTACCTTCCAAAATATTAATATCTAATTTAATTTTTTTATTAAGAAATCCTGTTATCAATCCTTTGCCTATAAAATTGCACAATAAATAAATTCTCATGAAAATATTACCAGAATTAATTTCATAAAATCTGGATTTTTTACATATATGAGGTACCAATATATTTGAGATATCATCTTTTAAATAGAAATGTTAACAAATACTAATAATACTTATTACCAGCCACAGATTTAGAATTTATTTCGATGTATCTTATATTTGGCAATAAGATATTTTCTTCTAATTTTACTTTTGATGTAATATTTTCAGCTTCACATGAATTTGAGCATGGTAATTGTTTAATATTATTATCAGCATCAGAAATTTCTTTTAAACACAGCGTAGATAGACACTTATTGTGAAATTTAAATTTAATTTTTAAGCATATGTCATTTAAAGTTCTCATTCTCATTTGAAAATCTAGTTAATCTCTCAGAAAATCATTTCTCTGTACTCAATATCCAAGACTAAAGGTGAAACCTGTCAAACGGCAAACAAAATATTACAGACAGATATCAGGTATCTATTTATGACATGTCATAAGAAATATAAATTTTAAATAGTTCAATATATAACTTGCTATAAATTAAAAATAATATACAAATTTTTACTCGAATTTTAAACTTGATAACCAAACTACAGCAACAAATTATTTGATAAGGCCTAACATGGTCTAACCGGTTTATATGCTACCGTCTTTGACAAATGCTATATAATATATTATTATAGTTCATACATTTTATATTACATTCTATTTTGATTATATTATCATTATGATTAACATTATATATTTTCTAGCGAATGCAACAGTAAAATCATATTTAGTATAATTCAGTAGATTGTGTAGTATTAGAGTAATTTATTTACATATTATGTGTTGTATTCGTCATTTGGATATGATTATATATTTATATATTTACGATTAATATAATAGGTGTTGGTTAACTTTCTAATAGATTACTAACTGTTAATAGTGTTGTTTATTCAAATTTGTAAAATAATTAATTGAGTATTAATTTAAATGTTTTGTTATATATTGTGTTGTTTATTCAAATTTGTAAAATAATTTATTGAGTATTAATTTAAATGTTTTGTTACATATATCAGTATATATACCAGTCGATGATATACATATTATAATTATTATTATTTTATTTTTTAAAGTAGAAATAAAATTTAATTAAAACAAAATACAATTTAATTAATTCTTGTTTCTTTCATGGCGCCGTTACGTTTTTGTAAAAAAAAAAAAAGGAAGAAAATATATAAAATTTGCTTAAAATTAAAATAAAAAAATTAAATAAATTAAATTCGAAATTGTGATGACTACCTTATTTATTGATTTGACTACCTATTGTGACGATTGCTTAAACCATTGAGATGACTCTATTTATATGACTACCTATTGTGGTGACTACCTATTGTGGTGACTACCTATTGTGACGATTGCTTAATCCATTGAGATGACTCTATTTATATGACTACCTATTGTGACGATTGCTTAATCCATTGAGATGACTCTATTTATATGACTACCTATTGTGACGATTGCTTAATCCATTGAGATGACTCTATTTATATGACTACCTATTGTGGTGACTACCTATTGTGACGATTGCTTAATCCATTGAGATTATGACTACCTATTGTGATGATTGCTTAATCCATTGAGATGACTCTATTTATATGACTACCTATTGTGATGACTACCTATTGTGTTGATTGCTTAATCTATGGAGATGATTAGAATCAAACCTTAGCACTATCATGCAAAAAGCTTCTTTCTTTATGGTGTCCTGGCTCTGGATGTTGGAATGGAATATGATAACCAGCACCTAACCTAATGTGACAACCTAGAAAGAACCAATATGGAAGTTGGACGTTAGGTTATGAATTCTATATTGTGAGACCAATTATGATTACTTATTATTCTGATCCACGTAAGAAGAAAAGTTATCATAAATTAAAATTTTATGCCGAGATAAAGGCATGTTGTAAATTTACTTATTAAAATAACTTAAATGTAAATCAATAATGGACATATTTGAACACATAAAAGCCTTAAAAAATTATTTACTTAAATATTGATATTTTTTTTTGGATTTCTTGTATGATGTGATGACCAATTGTTGTAAATTAACTAAAAGATGAATTTTTAGATTTAATTAAAAATAAACCATTAAAAATCCTAAACAAGAAGATAAAACTTTAATTTTAAATATATTAAAATGTAATTAAAACATGAATTAAAAGGTTTAAATCACATGATAGATTTACATAACCCTTATAAGTAATACTTAATATGATAAAAATGTTTTTGAAATAAAGCTTTTGAAGACAAAAGGTTATGTAAAAATTAAACATCATTATTGTAGAAAAATATTGTGTGAAATTTAAATTTTTTTTAAGAGAGGGAAATGTGCATAATATTTGCATATTTTAACCTCGGAGATTGAAATTAAATAAATTAAATATTAAAACGCTACTAATTAAATATTAAAACGCTACTAATAAAATATAAAACGCAAAATTTAAAAAAAAAAACGAAAAATTTTATATAATTTTTTTGATTTATCATTCTTATGGAATTCTACATCATTCCATATTCCAAAAATTTTATTCCAAATTCTTTTATTCCAAAATTTTATTCCATATATTCAAACTTGATCCTTATAATAATCATAACGTACAGCAACTTTTCTAACCTACAAAAACGTATGGACTCACGCCATCAGACAGACTTATGCGCCCTCTGAGCAGCAACTTGATGCTTTGTCGAGGAGGGGAATGTTAATAGAGTTGTTTATTCAAATTTGTAAAATAATTAATTGAGTATTAATTTAAATGTTTTGTTATATATTGTGTTGTTTATACAAATTTGTAAAATAATTTATTGAGTATTAATTTAAATGTTTTGTTACATATACCAGTATATATACCAGTCGATGATATACATATTATAATTATTATTATTTTATTTATTAAAGTAGAAATAAAATTTAATTAAAACAAAATCCAATTTAATTAATACTTGTTTCTTTCACTAACATCACTTATCCTTCCATGACTTCTTTGTGATTGGGGATCTATCGTTCACATATCTTTTCCTTACTTTTCTATTTTGATTCTTATGTGGATTTATTTCTTTTTGAAAGTATTCTTCTTTAATTTCCCTCAAAAAATAAATAAACTAGCATTAATACAGTAATCCACCTCCCACCTTTAAAGTAATTAAATTTAATGCAGTTCTTGGGTTTGGGCTCTTTTTTGGTCCCGCTCTAATGTTGTGTTTACAAGTACTTGCGGCTTGCCCACAAACGTGTGGAGGGCTCAGCGTCTACATGACAGGATTTTCACTGGATGCAAACCCCCTTCAAAAACCTTTGTCTACCCCCCTAAAAAAATACCCGCCGCCTTCGGCGCAGATGTCTCTTTATCATTATTTTCACCTATTTATTTATTGATACTTTTTTCAAATAATTTATAAAGGATAACTTAAATTAATCTATCTCTACTACCAACTATCGATATTTTGTGAATATAAAGAATTTATTTAGTTAAAGAATTTAATTAAAACCTCCAATATTTACAATGAATTAATTATTATGGCATTATGAGCTTGCTGAAATATCTAAACCTTTTAAATTATATTTAAAAGGATAGTTTATTTGGAAAACAATGTAGATTATTGTTTGCAATATATAGATTTGGTCGATGAATTGTATTATAATAATACTATAATAAAAGTATTAATTTTTACAGCAATAAATTTTGTCCTATTTCATCTCAAAATTTAATAGATAACCCCCAAAAAAATTTATCCTACCCCCATTAAAGCAGCTTACCCCCTCAAAAAAATAGGATGCAAACTGTTCCTACCCCTACCGCTCATGTAGACGCTGGAAGGGCTCCTCGTATTTTTCTTTTCCCCAATATTAATCAATTCCAATTAGATGGAAATGAGGAAAACCTATCGTAGCTTTGTTGTGTATTCAACGATAGAAGGCGATGCGCTATATATCACGTATCACGTAAATAAAATGTGTGTTGTGATTGAATTAAATAAATGAATAAAATGTATTAAATCATTAAAGATTTGCGAAGAGTAATTCTCTAGGATTAAAGAAGAAAGACTAACTACTGTATTGATAAAAGTGATAAATCAAACATTTTAATTAATAAGAGTGGTGAAATAAATATTTTAAGTGAAACGATGGCAATCAAGTAAATAACGACTTAGAATCAAGAAATATAATAAAAGTTAAATTTGATTATTTTGTTAAGCAAAACAATTTTCAAGATTATATTAAATATATAAGATGATATGTTCGAGATAAGAGGGATATTATTAAATAACATGATTATTTGCATACATGGGAATTAGTAATTTGGTAGAGATGATGTCATTTATATAGCCAAGAATCTTGAAGGAACTGTATTATGAGGAGATAGTTGAAGTTGGTAAGGCAGTATTTAAGCCTAATTCAACGACTACCATACATAGGCATAGCCAGGATTTTCATAATGGGGGGGGGGGGGAATTAAAAAATTAGTTGGGGCTTCGCCCCCAGACCCCCTTTTGGACGGGCCTTCAGCCGGGTTACCTTCTATATATAGTCATAAAATATTTTTACAAATTTTAATTAAAAAATAAGCCTAGAACAAATATGATTTATATTTTTATTAGTTTATATAAAATATAATAAATTACTTGTATATACATTAATATAAAAGCATGGTAATAATTTATTCCAAATAATTATAAGAAATTTATTTATAAAAAGTATAATAGATATATAGTTGATATTCCTCTATTATATAGAATTAGTTACAAAATACTAGGTAAAATTCCACTTTGACAGTTAGAGAATATATTACAGATAATAGTTTAACAAATTTTACTAATCAATGCTTTTGATAATAAATATAGCAAGAATTTGCATTCAATTATTTAACGCCATCTATTTTTTAAGTAAAAAATGATATTAAAATTTAATCTTTATATTATTCATCCCACTAATGCAGCGTCTACATGACAGGATTTTCACTGGATGCAAACCCCCTTCAAAAACCTTTACCAACCCCCTAAAAAATTCTTTATCATTATTTTCACCTATTTATTTATTGATACTCTTTCAAAGAATTTATAAAGTATAACATCTATCTCTACTACCAACTATCGATATTTTGTGAATATAAAGAATTTATTTTTTAGATAATAAATTCAATTAAAACCTCCATTATTTACAATGAATTAATTATTATGGCATTATGAGCTTGCTGAAATATCTAAACCTTTTAAAATACATTTAAAAGGATTGTTTATTTGGAAAACAATGAGTATGATTGTTTGCAATATATAGATTTGGTTGATGAATTGTATTATAATAATACTATAATAAAAGTATTAATTTTTACAGCAATAAATTTTGTCCTATTTCATCTCAAAATTTAATAGATAACCCCCAAAAAAATTTATCCTACCCCCATTAAAACAGCTTACCCCCAACCCTCTCAAAAAAATAGGATGCAAAATGTTCCTACCCCTCCCGCTCATGTAGACGCTGCCACAATGTCTTTAAAAGATATTTTCTGATGTCCTTATCAATATTTTATAGTTTTCTGTAAAATATATAATTCGCTATATTGGTAAAAATTACTTGATTGTCATATGATAATTGATAAAATTAGATATACTGTAAATCTACGACATATAATATTCCACTGTTTGTATTGTGTTTTAATATTTTTATTTAATTTATGATTTAATTTTATCAATAGTTTTATAATTTTTTATTAAGATAAATAAATTAAAATTACTCACTTTATAAAAAATTATATTTGATATATTATATTATTTAATAATTTTATGTATCTAATATTAATAATTATAATACATTTCACTTTTGTTTTAAGACTTATCTTTGGCTTATATTCCATTTATTAAAAAACATTTTTGGTTCATTTTATATATTTATTTTCCAAAAAATGTATAAATTATGATGAATAGTTTTTTTATTAGCTAAAAATGATATTTACAAAAAGTGATAAATTTCTAAAGGGGGGGGGGAATTTCCCCTTGTCCCCCACCCTGGCTACGTTTATGTCCGTAATCAATAATATTTAATATTGTAATAAATGGATAAATATTTTGTAGTAAATAATATGTTCTTAAGAAATGTCTTGTAATTTTTAACTTTCATTATTTGTAATTATATGCATAAAAAATAACAAAATATCGCCCCCCCCCCATCCCCCCTAATTTTTTAGTTGATCCCCCTGAGATCGTAAAGGCTAGTGACGCCCCTGCGTAAATAATTATTTTTTAGAAAATTAAGTTAAAAATCCCTTCATTTGCAATAATTGCATTATTTTAGAAAATTAAGGTAAAAACCCCTTCATTTACAATAATTGCATTATTATAGTATTTTTAAATCTGTGCGCCGGCCGTTGGCTGCGAAAACGCCGCCGTTTAAGAAAATCAACCAGCGCGCTGCAGATTTTCATATCGGCAGCGCACGGCCGGCCCAGAAATACTTTCATATTTTATAGCTTTTTATTCTAATAATTGGGCAACATCACTATTGTAATTTTTTTAATGTCAATCAGGATTTTGATGAATTTATTTTTACTACTATTTTAAAATCATAATTATATTGACGTCATTATAGAATTCAATCAATCAAAAATCTAAAATTCTAAAAGTTACCATAATTTTATATATTTTTTAAATGGATGCATCTACATTTAATAATTCCATAAATAATTTTAGTATCCTAACTCTGGAAAATAAAAAATCCTTAGTCTGGAAATTTTTGATTACTTACACTTAAAAAGAGATAATAAAACAATTTCCATAAATTCTGACATATTTTACTGCAATTGTTGCTTAGATTTATTCCAACAAGTTACAATACATAGTATAACAAGTAAATATATTAAAACAATTGATAAATAAATTGCTGCCATGACTACAGATTTATCAGTGTTTTTGATGATAAGCCAGGACTAGTTAATGATTTTGAAGTTAGCATACATCTTAGTGAGGCAACAAAGCCAAAATCATACCCAGCACGTAGAGTACCTTTTCTATAACGAAAACCAATTGAAATGGAACTTAATAGATTGATTAAATCAGGAATATTGAAGGAGATTGACCCAATCACGTCTACATGAGCGGGAGGGGTAGACAGGGGCCCCTACAACGGGGGGGGGGTCCGAAGCAACTGCTTCAGTAAATTTGAGTGGGGGTACTTTTTTTTTACATCCATCATGATCATGTGATTTCTGGTTTATAAATGTAACAATAAGACCCCCCCCCCCCCCACTTAATATTTAATTTAATATATTGATGGAAATTTTGGTCGATGTTTAGTAAATTTGTTATCCGAAATTTCTTGTCATAAATTATTTTTCCAAATCTTCACAGACACATATGATGGCCGATTATGGAAGGCTTTCTCATATTAAAAATTCGATATTAAAATTTATAACACCTCAGAAAGAATGTGTAGATAATAACCGTTCTATTATAAGAATTATAATAAGATGTTTAGATTATTTAATATCTCGTAACCAAGCCTTCTGGGGGAACAGGCAACAAGAAGGCAATATGATGGCCCTTATTAAGCTTATTGCAGATTCTGAACCTGTACTAAAAATGTATATACAGTAAAATTAAGAAAGAAAAAAGGATAAAAAAATAAGGGATTAAAAACGAAATTATATTCAAACCTATTATATAATAACATAAACATTCTCATTGAAACCATGAAAAATATGGTTATAAAAAAAATTCAAAATGAGATTACATTTAACAGGTGCTTTTCAATCATAGCTTTGATAGTAAGATATGTTGAAAATAGTGAGACGCCGAAGCCTGTTGAAAGACTGATTGACATATATTGTACGGGAAATACCACAGGTCTCGATATAAAGCATAATATAATATCCAAACTTGGCTCGATGAATTTACCCCTTGAATATCTAGTTGGGCAAAGTTATGATGGCGCCTCAAACATGAGTGGAAGAATCAATAGTGTGCAAGCCTTGTTTAGAGCAGAGGCGCCAAAGGCAGCTTTTATTTGGTGTTACTGTCATCGATTAAATTTAATCGTTGTTCTATTATGCCAATCAATTAAAGAACTTCGAAATGTTCTAGGAATACTAGATGAGATTTATGTCTATTTTAATGGTGTAAAAAGATATGAGGTACTCAAAAAATTTCAGTGTAATAGTGCGTACAAATTGTGCGTTGCAACGCAGCGTTTTAAAACGCATATAAAAAAACGTAAACGCAGCCATGTATAAATTGATGCGTTAACTTTTATTTTTTCAATATGAAACATTTAAATTTAAAACAAAAAAAATTACTTGCTTTGTATTTACTACAAAGAAATAAAGGAAGGAAGAAGAGCAAGACATCCAAAATATTTGTTAAAAGAAATCTTTTTTCAGAATATATTAATATTAAAGGCGATTTAACAAATTCGCAATTTTATAACTATACAAGAATGAGAAGAGCAACATTTTCTTATATACTGGAGCTCATATATGAGGACATTAATCCAAAAGTTACTAACTGTAACAAACAAATCGATGCTGAGGATCGTTTGTTTGTTACATTAAGGTAAAATAAATTTAATTAATTATTTATATAATAGGTATTTAATAACTGGTGTATAATTTGCACAACTAGCTTATAGTTCAAGGATCTCAAAATCTTGTATAAGTTATATTGTGAAATCAGTGTGCACAGCAATTTGGAATGCTGCTGCACATATTCACATGTCTAAGCCTAATAAAAATGATTGGGAAAAAGTAAATTTATTATAATAAATCAAGATTAATATTTACTTATCTTTAGATTTCCCAGGAATTCCTGCTTCAATCAGGATTCCCAAATTGTATTGGGGCTATAGATGGAAAACATATATATATCAAGAGCCCTGCCAATAGTGGCTCACAATTTTATAACTATAAGCATAGATTTTCTATTAACCTGTTAGCCCTAACAGATATTAACAGGAGATTTATTTATATAGATGTGGGTGCATATGGAAAGCAAAGTGATGGTGGTGTTTTTAGAAATAGCTCTTTATATAGAGGTTACTTTATATTAATTTTAATATATCTTATAAATATATTAATAGAATTGATGAACCATACACTTAATATGCCTGCTACCAAACCATTTCCAGGTTGTAATGAGGCCATGCCATTTGTAATGGTTGTAGACGACACATTCCCTTTGTCAAATTATTTGATGAAGCCCTACCCCAAAAGAAATCTGACAACAGAAGAAAGGGAATATAACATGAGGCTGTGCCATGCTCGAGTAAGTGTAGAAAGAAGCTTTGGTGGAATAGTCAAAAAATTTGACATTCTAAGTAAGCTAATAGAAATAGGACTACCTAGCATAGAGATAGTGATAAAGGCTATTTGCATCCTACATAACATTATCATCAACAAAGAAGGATCAGCTTCCATTGATGATATAGGTAATACCAATATTTAAATTTAAATAAATATATAAAAATCATATTTATATATATTTTTAAAATCATATTTATATATATTTTTAAAATTATATTATCATCAATACAGATCCTACATTGGCTAACCTTACAACAAGACCATTTTTGGCAAGCAGGGAAAACAACTCAAGCTCACAGGAATCTAAAATCATTAGGGATAAATTTAAAAATTTTATAAATTCTTAAATTTTTATATTATAATAAATTTATTAATATTACTATTATAATAAATTTATTTATATTACTATTATAATAAATTTATTTATATTACTATTATAATAATTTTATTTATATTACTATTATAATAAATTTATTTATATTACTATTATAATAAATTATTAATATTAAATAAATTTGAATAAAGTATTGATCATGAAATAATTTTAAGTTTAGTTATATATTTGTAAGCTTAGTGTTAATTGTAATAGATTAAATGAAGTGGGATCCAAAGTTGAGGATTAATAATGGGGATGAAGGTTGTAGATTTATATATATTAAACTCAATAATGCAAATATTTTAAATTGCCCTCAATCATAATAAAACTAAACTAAGAGTGAAACCTTGACTTTAGCCAATAAATATAATCATAAATATTTATCATATTTTGCTATATATTAAAATCTTATTTATATTTTAAAAATTACATTTTAGGAAGAAGTTAACACATAATTATCCACTACTAATTATATAAAAATTTTATTAATAACAATATATCAAAAATTAACAATATAACAAATATAAATATCAAAATTATATAATGGTATTAAAAATATCTAAAGCTGTTTCAGATGTTTCTGTTGTTTGTGTATTTCTTCTATTAATCTTGATAATTTGCATTGTTTTTACAACTTCTGTCTTGAAAAAATAGTCTTCATCAGAATTGTAACCTTCCAATACATCAACCAGGCTATCCAAAAAGATTCTATATAAAAGATAAATAAATTATAGATAAAAATAAGAATTACTGGATACTAGAAGATTTTTTTTCCAATACACTCATAAGCTTTTGCAAATCATTTTGATTTTTAGCAGGGTTCCTTGTTTGAGGAGGGGATTCCTGAAAATTACTGACAGTAGGTCTGTCGGCAACCGTGGCTTGCATGAAATTAATATATTTCTTATATTTATATTCATGCACCCCTCCTCTAGATCCTGAAGGTCTCGCTAATTTATCCTTGTTGAGTTGATCCTTGAAGTTCCAGGCGTTTCCTTAGGTAATTCACGCTACAATCATAATCTGGAAATTCTTCTGATAATCTAAAAATAAAATTATTAATAATATTATATATTATTTAACTTAATTCCTATGATGGAAAGTTTTTCCATCACAGAGAATGTCTTCTTGTGATCAGGATGCGCCTGATTCCAAATAACCTCTTCAGGTTCCAACATTTCAGCAAATCTTTTTGTTATTTCTTCATTCCATGATCTAAAATAATTAATAAATGATGATTTAATTATATATATTCTTACATTTTTGATGGTGGTTAATTTCTCCACTTCAACAAAATTTGAAAATAGTTGCAAAACGCAAGCAGGTTTACGTTTTTAAAAAAAATTTTAAATGAAAAACGGATATGTGCTCAATTTGAACGAATGCATTTAAAATGCATTGCTTGCGTTTTGAAACGCTGCGTTGCAACGCACAATTTGTACGCACTATAAGGATCTGAAAAAATCACAACGATTTCTACGCGTCAAGAATACGTAATAGTTCCTTATTTATTTAAATTTTAAATGTTTTTTTTTTAGAAGCTGGCTATCGTCATATAAAGCTATTGTAAATTTTTTTCAACTTTATGATGCCTTGAGGGCAACTTTAACAAATTTAAAGGATTCTGAAGATCCTGCCACTTCCACTATGGCTAGTGCTATAGTCTTTAGAATAGAAAAATTTGATTTTATCTTATCACTTTGTGTTTTGGATAAAATATTGTTGATAACAAGTTTGGCTTGTACAAAATTGCAAATCATTTCGAAGGATATAGGGTATGCAATAAATCAAATTCAATTGACAAAAGATTGCTTGATTAATTTGAGAAGTATAATATAAATTATTGTCTTAATTATTTTTTAATCTAATAGATAATAACACTAAATTTTTGGATGTTTTTTCAAAGGCACAAGATTTTATGAAGGAGAGAAATCTATTTTGATTTTGAAAGTTCTAGACTTCAAACATTACAATCCAAAAAGGAGAGGTATATATACTTTCATCATTAAATATAGAAATTTTTTAGCGATGATTCCATGAAATTTTTACATCAAACATCATTTTTTACGCCAAAGGGAATGGCAGAAAAATCAATTATTAAAGAAGATATTGAGGATATCTGTGAATTTTACAATTTAAATTCAAGTCAAATTTTCGAAGAAATGTTGAAGTTTAGAAATATTTATAAGATGGCCAAAATGGGGAATGTAATTATTACTCATGACCTAGAGGTTCAAGAATCTAAAGATTTGTCAGATTCTGAGAATTGTAAATTTATTTAATTAAAATATTTTTACCAATACATTATTTAGCTTCTTATGATGATGATGATAATTCAGGGACTTACGATTCAGATTGGAAAAATTCATTTATTTTACCTTATCGTTTACTTTTAAGTTTTTCTGCTTTCCCTAATTTAAGAATTTTATATAAATATTTATTAACCATTCCCACAACCTCATGTACTGCCGAAAGAGTCGTGAGTAAAATTAAATTAATTAAAACAAGACTGCGCAGTACCATGAAAGATTCTTTTCTCAATAATTTAACCATATTATCAATGGGAAATTTTTTATTTAAACAATTATATACTGATGAAATTATAAATTCTTTCGCTTTCTCTTCCCCTAATTTATCTAAATTATTAATTTAAAAATAATATTTATAAAGTTATATTTTTTGCATTTTATTTATATTATATATTAAAAATTGATGCAATAAAAATTATTTTTGATATTTATGGGTGCCATAATTATCATTTTTTCGAAGGGGGGGTGTACTTTTCATGGGGGTATTCTGCTTCATTCGCTCAAAAAGTGTAGGGGCCACTGGGGGTAGGAACAGTTTGCATCCTATTTTTTTGAGGGGGTAGGGGGTAAGCTGCTTTAATGGGGGTCGGATAAATTTTTTGGGGGGTTATCTATTAAATTTTGAGATGAAATAGGACAAAATTTATTGTTGTAAAAATTAATACTTTTATTATAGAATTATTATAATACAATTATCGACCAAATCTATATATTGCAAACAATCATACACATTGTTTTCCAAATAAAACTTTCTGCTATCCTTTTAAATTACATTTAATAGGTTTAGATATATCAGCAAGCTCATAATGCCATAATAATTAATTCACTGTAAATAATGGAGATTTTGATTGAATTTATTATCTAAAAAATAAATTCTTCATAATCAAAAAAATAAATTCTTAAAATTAGTTGGTAGAGATAGATAAATTTAAGTTATCTTTATAAATTCTTTAAAATATAAATAAAAAGACACCGCCGCCGAAGCCGGCGACAATTTTTTAAGGGGGTAGGCAAAAGTTTTTGAAGGGGGTTTGCATCTAATGAAAATCCTGTCATGTAGACGCTGGACCCAATAAAAACGCGTATGACGTGAGTGTCCTAATTTCTGTTTAATTTATTCCTAGTCTTTTTATTTTATACTAGTTTTCGTTTGTTTTAAAAAGTTATAATATTTTTTTTATTTAAACGCCTATTGTAGAAATTAATAAAGCATTATAGAAATATTGATAAAATATTTTCTTATAAATATTATAATTAATTTGAAAAATTATTGAATTTGTAATGAGAACCTTTAAAAATATATATTCTGGTTTTAATGTTTATAGATATTACGTTAAGTTTAAGTTGATTCTAATAAATTAAGTTATATAAATTAAATAGTTATAATAGGTTAAAATAAGGATTGACCGGATCTGAATTCTGATTAATTCGGTTTTTAAAGGTAAAAAAAAATATTTTTTATAAAAATTTTTAACAAAGCAATCTTAAGGTAAGTTAAAATTTTTGTTATTTTGATCATTATCATAGGCCTCATATTTTTGATAAAGCTTTCGTTTATAAGGATTTTGGTTATAAAATTCTGTATAAAAAACTTAACCATTTGGATCTAAGTAATCAATTAGTTACGATATTATTTTTTGTAATGGGCTATTCATTACATTGAAATTTCTGATAAGGAAATGTGCCGATTTAGTGACAAAGGTACATAATAATTTAAAGAAAAACAATGTGGTGTCAGATAATTATTTAAAAAGAATATTAGACTTATAAAATAATTCAAAAGAAGTTTTAAATGAGATCAAGAAGGATAAACCAGAAATGGTTAGTATAAAAGATAATCTGTGCGATATTCCGGAACGTGTGGAGAGATCAGTGGTTATATACAAACAAGAAGTAATAAAATGTAAGATATAATCAAAGTTATATATCAGGATATATATAATTGATTAATATGAGTAATAATTGTGATAAAAGCCAGATATATGGCAAAAATTTCAAATGAAAAAAATGGTTTCTTAAAGGACTTGGTGAAAATATTGATGCTAATAAGAATAATTTGAATAATATTAAATGTAATCGGTGTGTTTATAAAGGACACAAGGTTGAAACTTATATGGTAAATGAACAGGATTTTCGGATGGGTTTTCCGTTAAGAAAATCTGTCAAAAATTTCAGTGTGATAAAAATTTCTGGCATCAATACAAATAAATTTAATGTATTACAATCAAATTATGACAATTCCCGGTTGTGCTTTAAGTGTAAAAAGACGGGACATATATAGATATAAATTGCGATTTACACTGACTATGATTGCAATGTTATCATATAGTAGTTAAAATACTGAGAAATCAAAATTTTAAGAAAGTATATAATAATGGTAAAATGAGATATAATTCACATGAAAGGAATGATTTTAATAGAAATTTTTATTATCATGGCGATAAAATTAAAAATGTTAGTTATTATTATAATCCGAATAAAAGGGGAGAAAATATCCTAAGGTATTGTCAAATATCCAAATAAAAAGGATGTTAATAATTTCAGATGGGAAAAATATCCTAGTGATATTGTAAAAAAACATATCAATATTGTTAAAAAGCAGCCTCTAAATTCCGAGTTAAATTTAGGTGAGAATTTAAATTTAATAAAATTGATATTTCAGATAGAATAAATATTAATCAG